CCGGTCCAATGGCCGCCTTCTTTACACAACAATAACACATATTCATCTTTATCATCGGAGCTCCATGACGACCTCCGGCTGTCTTGGTACATGCCGGAGTGCCGGCCATGCGAGTTACGTGGTCAAATGTGTGGATTGGAGACTAATAATAGCGGTTCACGAGTCATAATATGCTCGAATATTCCAAATCAAGGTACCCTTTTTAGCTAATATGTTTCTTTCTGATTAGTTAATCTTGCTTATTTAAGTATAATCGTCATCATCTTGGTGGGTTTGTGTTTGAGAATAGAGATTAGAATCTTTCCTTTTAATTTTGGGTATAAATTACTCAGAATTCACATAGTTATTGCAATATAATTCGTTTATTATAATACAACTTGGGTATAGAAAATACATATAAATTTTGTCTGTTTATTTATGGACCAGTAATTTGCTTGAATATTTAAACATGGATAATTAGGGTTTTCATGAAAAGCATAAATCTAAGTTGATATGAACAGCTCCTTATAAACTGGGAAAAAGCACTGTTGACTGTCCAACAAGTTTAATTAATTAAGTTTACCGTATATTTTGCCGGCCTTAATCTGCTGCTTGCATTAAAAAAAGATAAATAATCCACTTTTTTCGGGTTTGATTTGTATTAACATGAAGATAGAGGCAATGAGAGGATTTTACATTAAACAAGATCATATGATTAACATTTAACAATGCAGTTCGTGATACTTTTTCTATTATTTTTTGGTTGCAATATTTTAAGGAAATTTTGACAATTACCACCTTCTGTTTAGTCCATTTTAGCAATACCACCTTCTATTTTTTTTTTTTGGAAATTACCACATTCTATTTTCAAAAAATCAAAAGTTACCACCTTCTTGCCTCCCAACTACCATATGACGTCATTTTGGGCTCATTCTTTCCCTTTCCTCTTTATTTCCCTCACATTTCTCATTCCTGACTCGATTCTCATCCCCCCTTTCACTTTTTTCCCCCAAACAATAAAAAACACTTCAATTTACTCCTCCAAATCAAAATTGACGAACAATTATTGGTGGTTTGGGGAAAAAAAAGTGAAAGGGGAGATGAGAATCCAAATAAGAATGAGAAATGTGAGGGAAATAGGGAGGGAAGGGAAAGAATGGGCCCAAAATGACGTCATGTGGTAGTTGGGGGGCAAAAAGGTGTAACTTTTGATGTTTTTGAAAGTAGAAGGTGGTAATTAAAAAAAAAAAAAATAGAAGGTGGTAATTGCTAAAATGAACATAACAGAAGGTGGTAATTGTCAAAATTTTCATATTTTAACTTTTACACTATATATTCACATTTTATTATGACTGATTTTAATGATTTATAGTTAACGGAAAAAAAAAAGGTATGTGATCATGTTACTCACTTGTAAAAAAAAAAAAATATATATATCTTGTTACTCAAATCAATGGACATAGAATACTTTTAATTAATTTATCAAGTTTTCGAAATTTTATGGTTAAAATATATAGGATCTTGCTATCGTTAGCATTTGCCAAATATATATATAGAGGAAAGTTAAAAGATGCAATTTGAAAGAAAATTTTGTAAAATTGATTGAATGAGCAAGATTGATAGTCGACTTGCATTTTATTTGGATCTATAATCAGTAATCTTGAAACTATCGGGCTAATTATGGTAAAACCTTACAACACTTAGCTTCTAAAAAACACATTAAGCAGCATTAAACTGCTAGGACAACCATTATGAAAATAGTCATTAAAAGTAACGTAACATTCAACTAGTGATGAAATAAATGACATAAAATGTCCTCTTTAAGTTTAAAAGCTGCATTAAATAATCCCTCCAAATCTTATTATACACCTGTCTCATTCCATACACTACCATAGGACAAATTAACTAATTTTTTTTCTAGTTTTGTAACCTTGTTCTTAATACAGATTAATCAACTCAAAATCTATTTGATAATACGTTGAATACGTATTAATATTAAATTTTACAATATAATTCGAAACCCTATAGATCTTCATTTAGCTAAAAAAGCCTGTCTTTTGACATAGCTTTTTATCTAACTAAGATGTGTTTTTCAAAAGTGCCTAATAATCGAAACTATACTGCACCGCCAATCATCCATCCACCCAAATTCTTGTTGTATGATCAATTAAGAGGGGGTGAGAATGCAGAGTCCGACAAAAATATATTGTACCGGACAAATTCACTCCATATTTATGAGTATAAACTTGATACAATGGATCTGGACAATGCGACTATTATTTTCAAACTATAAGTGCTACTTTCTTCGTTCTTTTTTACTTGACCTGCTTTGACTTTTACACTATTCACAACCCCTTCTTTGACTTTTATGAATAATAATGTGTGAGGAAAAAATTCATATTAGAATTTGTATATTTTTCTAATTTCAGGTATGGTTGGGAAATTGCCCATAACCACCTTCATAGCAGTTATACTAGTGATATGCTCACCAACACTAGTTTGTTTAGTGGGCTCGCTAATTATTTGGATCCGGGCTTGTCTTAGACGTAGGAGTTTAAACCGCGATTTACAACTCGAATCAGTCGTCACTAATGGGCCTGATCGTATTGGAGAATTGGGCCTTGCAGAACTGAACATAGAGTTTGCAAGGCAAGTAGTTCGACTGGGCCTGAACGAGGAAGCTAGCCCAGAATACCGGCCCACTATTGTAATAAGTGAGATAGAAGAAGTGGGCCAAGGCCCAAATAGGGAGAATGAAAATGCATGTGCAATTTGCATGGGAGAATATAGAAGGAAGGACAGAATTGGAACTTTACCTGTTTGTGGCCATTATTTTCATGCAAATTGCGTAAATAAGTGGCTATTATCTCGCGGTAGGTTTGGGAAAACTTGTCCAATTTGCAGGACTCCAGTTGATTCATCATGACATAAAAAAAAAAAAAAAAAAAAGGAGGAATTTTTGTTGTAGAGTGATAATAATTGTTGCTTGAAATATTTGTATTCGATGTATCATAAAATATAGTTAGAAACTTAGAATCATTCCATGTATGTTACAACTTACAACTTACAAGCTATACATAAAGATGTAAATCTCACAAATTATACATGTCTCTTTAGTTGAAAATTGATTTACATCATTTTAGGAAAGGAATCATAAGATGGAGGGCACACGGCACAGTGACCTATGCTTAAGATATCCTCAAATACGGAATTTTGAAACTTAAGGAAGTTATAGAGTAATTTTAGAATGATAATGTCATTATCCATCCTCGTATGTTAATAAGACTTCTCAAAATTTAGCATATGTCTACTTATCTGAGCTAATTAGACTTTATTAAACTTATATGTTAGTTGTAATTTGAATGAGAATAACCCTTATAATTTTTTATTTATTTAACAACTGCTTACTAAATACTTTTACACAATCAGTTATTTAAACAAGCTAGTCAAATCAACTAATATAACTTGCTAGTTGAATCAGTTATTTTAACTAACTATATCAATCAATTATCAACTAATTACCAAATAAAGCCAAAATAAGATGAATAAGACAGGGAATAACGAACTCCCAAAAATAGGAAGTGGTTGAGCTTCATTTATTATGTCAATATGTGTTTAAGTACAATAATGGTATATTGGTATGAAGATATATCATGAAATTCACATTTGGACAACAAACCAAAAACCAAACTTATTAATGAACACTTGCTCAAACAGAAAGTTAGTATGACAAATTGACAAGTATGACGTACCATGGTATAAATTTTGTGGTAGAAACAACACATACATCATAGTTTATTATTATGTACTTAATTCACAGGGAATGGGGCCTTAGTGCCCCTACAAAAAACAAAAAAAAATGTGGAACATAACAGTGATAACACTAGAAACAAGATAAGTTGAGGCATCGGAGATTTGGGTAGTTGAACATACATTTAAATGAGGATTTCTCAGCTTATATTAATTCCAATGACTATTATTGGCCTTAAGTACTATATTGTGCTTACTGCTTAGTACACTCATCTTAAATCTATCTTAAATTGCAAATTAATTAATGACATAAATCTGCACTACAGCAAGGTAATGGGCCCAATGGCTTTTGTCACTAAAAAACAAATGTTGCTTTGTGTAATTTAAACTCATTTATAGAATACCATATTGTAAACTTTTCAATCAAATAAAGGAGTGAAAAACTTAAAAAAGATGAAACTATCCTATTACTAGAAAGTAGAAACTAAAGTGTTGATAAATTTATACAGGCAAGAAAAATCTTCATTACAATATTAATTTATTATTATTCTTATATTAAATAATGTACTATTAATAGCAAGTTTTATCTATCTATGGTTGTTGACAAAAGCTGATACACATACAACCATTATGTGTTGTCGCTACATACAACACCATTAAAAATTTAACACATCAACAGAAAATGGGAGAAAGTTAAGAGTCAAATATAAATTGAATTTAATGGAACTCGTGCCTATTATTTTAGCCAATAAAAACATGACAAATGAGAATTGTATATAGGGACCTATGTTATTGACATGAATTTTATCCGTCTGCCGTCTTTTGATCACCGATATAGAAATGTCCATATGGGCCTATGTTATCGGCTACAACAAGATGCTTTTCACACTATGGAATAATGAACCTTAAACAATAATGGTCCAAGGAAATTAAAGAGCTTCCCATGCTAGCTAACATAATATGCAAGTAGGTTGATTTATATGATCTAGGCTATGCCAGCTAGCAAAATATTGCAATAGAGAACGATAGGAAGATAAGTAGTAATAAATCAATTACTTCATTGCAACTACTATTAAAACTCAACATGGAGCTTGAGTGCTTGACCAATGTGATGGGAGACGTACTACAGCATTTTAGCAAATAATAAACGTCTTTTACATCATTAACAATGTGTCCAATTTCCTTGTTATTTTTTGAAAGAACGTGTCCAATATTTTGAATCATTAATTTTCGTAATATATCTAGTAACCATATATTATTAATTAGTTTAGTTGGCATGGTTTTTAGGTGATGTGTTATTATTCTTTTGAATCTCGAGAATTAACAAAAATAATTCTTATCATCAGATATCTGGATGTGAATGCTCTACCAACAATTATCTTCAAAGCAAACATCAAATGACGATTTCTAAGCAAAACTAGTGCTTTGAAGAAAGACTTAAATTATTAAAGAGGGTTCTACCAACTTGGTTACCACTAACTATCAATCATGGCCACTTGCCTTTTCTCATGGTTAAATACTGAGCTTTACAACAATCAATGGCTTGTGTCAAAAAAAAAAAAAAAAAACAATCAATGGCATAAGCACACTATTCAAGCAACCATGACAATGACATGATTTGATTGTCTTCAAATTGTCAAATAAAGCCGCAATTTAACACAGTAATTCATCACCGTTTGAAATTAATTACACAGTTTAAAATATTTTGAAAAGTATTCACTTTAAAAATCATAATAATGATCTATCATTAGATTCATCTTCCTAAAAAATATAGGCATTTATTCAACCCGTGGTGTCACAACTCACAATTGAATCACCAAAGTAGCACACAATAGTAACGAAGAGAGGCTTGAATATTAGGATTAGTATGAGCATAATAAATGACAGATATATGCTTGTATTATTTATGCTAATCTTCTAGCACTATATAAAGCTACAACCTCCAGACCAAATATGTAACCCAAAACCCAAAATGGCCGATCAAAATTACCATAAAAATGATCAAAAATATGACCTTAAACATCCCTCAATTGCAGCAATCATAGTACCCTTTCCAATGCAAGGCCATCTCAATGAGTCTCTCCATCTTTCCATTCTCATAGCATCCTATGGCATACCGGTCCATTTTATCGGATCCATAGCACACAATCGCCAAGCCAAGCTACGTCTCCATGGTTGGGACCCGAAAGATACAAGTAAAATGCACTTTCATAACTTACAACTACCGCCTTTTACCTTAAATAATCCTCCCAAACTCAATGCCTATACTAAATTCCCTGGTCACCTCCAACCACTTTTCGATGCTGCCTTACAGCTTCGTAAACCTGTGTTTCAACTTCTACAAGAACTCTCAGCTAAGTATCGAAGAATCATCATTATTCATGATACTATGATGGCTTCAGTTGTTCAAGATGTAAAACTAATCCCAAATGCAGAGTCATATGCTCTCCATACTGTCTCTGCCTTCACCATCTTCTTCCACATTTGGGAGTCGATAGCCAAGAAACCTTTCCAACTAGATATCGATATCCCAAACCACAAAGTTCCCTCGAGTGAAGGGTGCTTTACACCCGAGTTTGAAGACTTTGTAGCAAAGCAATACAAAGTCTTGAACTTCGAGAGTGGAAGACTCTACAACACATGCAGACAGATTGAAGGTAGATATATGGACTTACTGGCAAAGCTACCAAAAAATGCTAACAAAAAGCATTTTGCAATTGGACCATTGCATCCGGTTGAGATAAAAGGCAGATACAGCAATAGCAGACATAGATGCCTCGAGTGGCTGGACAAACAAGAGACTAATTCAGTAATATATGTGTCATTTGGAACGAGCATATCGATGACAGAAAAGCAGATCAGCGAGTTGGCTGTTGGATTGGAAAGAAGCAGGCAGAAGTTTTTATGGGTTGTTAGAAGTGCTGACGGAGTAGATATAGCTGCAGAAGATGATGTGAGAAGGCCTCGGCTGCCAAAAGGTTACGAAGACAGGGTAAAGGACAGGGGAATGGTGGTAAAAGACTGGGCACCGCAGCCTGAAGTTCTTGCACACCCATCAACAGGAGGATTCATGAGTCACTGTGGTTGGAACTCGTGTATAGAGAGCATCAGTATGGGAGTGCCAATAGCAGCATGGCCTATGCATTCTGATCAGCCAAAAAACAACATTTTGATAACAGAAGTCCTAAAGATAGGTTTATTAGTCAGGGATTGGGAACAAAGAGCTAAGCGAGTCACATCAACTTCTGTAGAGAACGCAGTAACACGATTGATGACATCAAAGGAAGGAGATGAGATGAGGAAAAGGGCAACAAAACTAGGTGGTGCAGTCCGAGGATCAGTTGCAGATGGTGGAAGTTCTCGCTTAGAAATGGATTCTTTCATTGCTCATATCAGTAGATGATAATCTTTCTCATCAAACTACATAAGAAGGTTAAATAAAAAGCCTTTAAGTGAACATATTGTTTCTCTTTGTAAACTTTACTCGTAGATTAACACTATTACATCAATATTACTGAAATAAATTGCAATACAATCTTGCATGAAACTACAGTTGTACTAACAATATTAATTAGTTTGATAATGCTCTAATAACAGGATAAAAAGGATTAACTCACAATATTTGAGAAGCTAATGGACTTCTCACTTCCTGAAAGTAGGATTTTTAATCAAGTCTAGGACACTCTTAACATTGTCCTGGAATATTTTTTACTACCTCAATTACATTCAGATGTTACATTGTTAGTTTTTAATTTCACCAACGTGACAACTAATTCCAGACAGAGGGAATGCTATTCAGTAGTTAGAACATTTACACAAACTTTTTATGTACGTAAGCTAGATCCTCCATGTATTACCAGCAAACGAACTGCCTAGTTCATGATTGCGATCATAGATTAGCTAAGCAAGCTACTAGGCACTACAGGCTTATTAGTTATTAGAGCACTAGAGGAAGTACCGTACCACAAGAATCTAGAGAAACTATGAACAAGAATTCCGTGAGACTTGAGAAAGCACAGAGCTTTGACATAGTATCTAGTGGTCCAAGTGCCAGGCTAAACCAATTAATGAAAATCATGCATCTCTAAAACGTGCAATTGTTATTCAAATGACTTATATCCAAATGTCGAGTATCCGAAACATGTATTTAATGCCAAAGAAAGGGCCTGTGTAACACATAGCCGCATCTCACTATCACTTTAACCCTCTATTCTCTTCAAAAACCAAATATAGCTATTTACAGATGTTGCTTTCTATGTACCTTTTTGTTTTTTTAATGGTAATACGTCGATTAAGATCAAACTATACTATTAATCCAACGAGTAAATAAACAAAATATTGATTCACAATTGTCTAATTGCACCAGAACATCAAACTATGCAGATCTAGTTACTATTACATCACACTTAACAAAATTATTGCATGAAACATCTATCTATTATACTTGCTTTCTATTTATTAAATTAAAGTTTTGTAACATAAAACATTCCAAGAAATTTTCGGATCCGATATCCGAAATATTCAGATCGGATATCCGATCCGAAAATCTTTTCGGATCGGTTATCCTAAATTTTCGGATCGGATGCGGATCGGAATTTCAGATTTTCGAATTATCAGATAGTTTTGCTCAGCCCTACTATACATTTCCTCAAAATCTCTCAACAATTCCTCAAAATCCTTAAACATTTCCTCAAAATCCCTCAACAATTCAGACCCCTAGCCTCTCAATTTCAACCTCTTAGATCTACAAACCTTCGCGTCTTGCCTTTCACAAGTCTCAACTCTCGTCGTCTTCGTCGTCCTTAATTTTTATTCCATTTTGAGAGTGAATTAATTTTGGTTTTTTGTTATTTGGGTTTTTTTTTTTCTTTTTTTTTTCTGCTTTCTATTGGTATGTGTTACTGTTAATCTTTGATTTTAGATTTTGAAATTTGTGGATTGTTATATTTTAAAATTTGTAGAATTATTAAACTCAAATTATATGAAGAATTGTAGCTTGTAATTATGAGTTTGAGTTTGCACTTTGCAGTCATGAATTGACTTTAAAAACAAATTAATTTTGACAATAAATTATTATTTTAACATAATTATTCGTGTAAAAAAAACCAAATCATTAAAAGGTTCGGATATCCTATATCCGAACTATCTGATCCGAAATTTTCGGATATCCGAAGATTTCGGATCGGATACGGATATCAAATATTTGCATTTTCGGATACGGATATCCGATCCGAAATCCAACTTCGGATCGAATATCCGATCCATGCTCACCCCTAATTAACAATAATATTATCATCAAAGCCTTAATGTCAATGATGGAGTCAGCTACATGAACCAAGAATCTATCTCCTTTGTATCTCTGAATCCGACTATGAATCAAGTTTAATATGCTCCTTTAACCCCAATTTCTTCAATTCGTACACAAACATATTACCAATTAAAATATTTACGTACAACACTTTGCAAAATGTTGAAAGCAATAATAACAAGGCTATCATCAACATTTAAGGAGTGATTCTAAGAATTCCTTAGTACTTTATTCTCATTTACAATACATACAAAATCAAACAACCTGATTACCTGAAACAAAACCTCATATAGACCTACAAAATGTATGATCAGAAGTTGAAAAATTCAGCATTGAAAGCGGCAAACAGGACAAGTTTGACTCAGGGGAAGCCATTGATCAATGCAATGAGCATGAAATAGATGGAAGCAATCCAGAAACTCTACCATTTCGCCGTCTTCATAATCATCCAAACATATCGAACATCTTTTTTCATCGTCCCCTTTAGGCATGGACTTGGAGGTGTAGGCCACTTTTGGCCTCAAGGTTATTAAAATCTCTGAATCAGCTTCGTGGCACGCGACATTAATACAGCTTAGGAGACATAATGCACCCACCACTGGCATCAAAGATATTATCTCAACAAGAAACATGATCAAATGTACAAAATTGGATTAAAAATAAAGGTTTTTTTGGATGATGAAGACGATTGAGAGGTCAGTTTTTAGGGGGGACTAATTAGTTTGCACGTTCAAGTTGAAAGTTTTCCCCCACTAATGAATAATGTTAGGCCTTCTTTTATTTGGGGTTCTAGGACATTTTCAACAATTTTAAAAATTTGCAATTACAAATTAAAAGTCTTTTTTATTTTAAATATTTTATCTTGTTTTTTTCATATCTTTTGTCACCTAAGCAATGACTAAGTTAAATTTTTGTTTTATAACTATAATATATTAGGAGCAATTAGATTTATGATGCAACTTCACTTCCAAAAAGAGGAGTTAAGCTCCAATATGAAAATTACGAAACTTGATTTAATGCGTGCATCTTTATATTCAACCTTATTGGTTAAGCGAAAAGTAGAAAGATCAATCATTAATTAACAAAAAAAACACCAATTGATACAGTCTCTAAAATAACTAGACTAGTATGATTCGGAAATTATATTTAAAACCTTTGGTTAGCTTTTGCATACATCAAAATTGTTATATAAATTCCATATATGTATAGAAAAAGAGTTTACATCAAAATAATCAAGTTTTAACACTTCAACAGTATGTATCTCAATCATACTCTATAATCATTTATCTACAAGCATACATCTTGCATTTGCGTGAATGCGTAATCAATATATATCAGTACATAGTTGAATTGAAAATCAAATGAGACTTCAATTAAAGTAAGAAATGTATGAATTTAGGTGTTATATTGAATTGGAATTTATTAAGGTGTCTTAAAAAATTAAAAAAAAAAAAAAGAAAAGAAAAAAAAAAGAATTTAAGGTGTCACTTAGGCTTTAGGATCCAAATGTCAGGGGATAATATGTATTGGTAATTAAAATCTTCATATTGAAGAAAGCTTTACCATAATATATGAACTTGCTTCACTATATTTTGTTTTGAAAAAATGATATACATTCTTAGTTGATTGACATTATATGTACGGATTGTTGGGAATTTCATCCCAAATCCCACATGGAAAAAATAGCAAGGGAATGAGCTATTTATAAAGTGGTGCTCAATACACTAGTACAAGGCCTTTTGGGAAGGAGCCCAAAAACAAAATCGTGCGGGCTTGGCCCAAAGCGGACAATATTATACTAGTGTGTGCATGAGCATGGTTCGGTGGCTTAACAAATGGTATCAGAGCCGGGCTAGTTCGGTTCGGGGGCGGGTGGCTGCCGTGGAGTATGTGGGGGTGTTCCTCTTGTGTCCTCGAAGTTAGGTGATCTGTGCCCTTTGTGTCGAAAGTCCTCTTGATGGTGTTCAAGCTGGTGGGACCAGGGGATGTCCTGTAACTGGTGGTGTTGCCCTGTAACTCGTGGTTGGAGCGAGTGGGCATGGTCTGATGGTTTGCGGTGAGCCTGTAACCGGTGGGGTTGCCCTGTAACTTGTGGTTGGAGCAAGTGGGCATGTTCCGGCGGCTTAACACGGATATTATCTAATAGTCATTATCAATAATTAGTTGAGAAAAATGAGTTCAAATTCTTGATAATGAGTTCTAAGCATTGAACTAGTTTATGAATTTGAATTAGTACTCCTAAACTAAACTTGGACGTGCCAACCAATCAATATATTTCATACATTGTTCAAAATATAATGGCCACAAATAAGGCTTTTATTAGTTGGATCATATCAATTATCTTCTAATTCATTTCATTGCTAGAAATAATCATAAGCAAAATTATAATTAGTCATTTATTGAGAGCATGGCGCTCATAGCAGTCCTAGCTATAGTTCCTGTTATCGCGATTTCTTGTTTGGTTACGTTTATTGCATGCCAACATCCTCCTACAACCTTGACTACACCCAACTTATGGCCTTTCTTGCAATTTGCTTATCAGGAGAAGCCAAACTCGTTCCGAGGTTCCTTTATTAGTCTTCCCTTTGACAAGCCAGAGAGTTCAGCCCAAGGTGCTGCTAGGAGACCGAAGAGAGCAATCTAATAACGCGATTTATTATCAAGTGCACTAGGGATTGATGGCCAACCATTATATATACATATATGAGGAACTCGTATTTGCTCAACATGCTTTTGGCTGGAATGTTGAATATATATGGTTTTGGTGTTACAAGTATCTCATTTTTTTAAGGTTCTACTTAGATTTTCATCATTTTTCCAAACATATTGTCATTAGTGGTGATTACTGGTTATTTTTTCCCCTAATGTTGCTCACCTGATTTGTATGAAATCATATATTTAATGGTTTGTAGTTTTACGAACGTGTGTGATATTATTAGCTAATGTGGTTGCGGCTAATTATAAGAAATTGAGTTAATAAAATAACACATACAAAGTATTTAATTTTTAAATTTAAGTTTATACATCTTCACTATGTCATCATTCCACAATTTTACTTTCAAGGAAATCACTCATGATATTATAACATCATATCTATATAATATCATGAGTGATTTATGATTTTTTTTTTAATTTTTTTTTATTTTTTTGTATGTGCAAATCACTCATGATATTATAACATCATACCTATAATATCATGAGTGATTTATGATATGTTTTTTTTTTTTGGGTGAAAATCACTCATGATATT